CCCAGGAGGGGAGAAAGGATTTTAATGGACACCTAATGTGTCCACCATGGCTGTTTTTGGTGTCAGTGTTATAGAGGTTTTTGTTTTTTTTTTAAATAAGAAATGCAGCTCTGATGGGTTGTTGTTGTTTTTTTTAAGATTTTATTTATTTATTTGAGAGAGGGAGAGGGAAAAGCAGACTTCCCGCTGAGCAGGGAGCCTGATGTGGTGCTTGATACCAGGACTCTGGGATCATGACCAGACACCCAACCAACTGAGCCACCCAGGCAACCCTAGATGTATTACTTCTTACAGATCATAGCAAATTGCACACAATTTTCTTTTCAAGCTAATCAACTTAAACAGTCTTGATAGCAGTCTTTAGGCCTCTCTTGATTTTAAAGGGATCAAAGAATTATATAAGGGAATAAAACTAATGTTTTTTCCCCTTTTTAGGAATGTGCAGCAAGAGGGGAGGACTATGAGAAAGTGAAGCTGCTGGAGATCAGTGCAGAAGATGCAGAAAGATGGGAGAGGAAGTAGAGGAGGAAAAACCCTGACTTGGGATTCTCAGGTAAAACTGGCTTTTACTTTATTGAATGGGCCTCTTAATAACAGGTCTAATAATGCCCCAACATCTAAAATAGTCTGGATTCTCCTTTTAGATTATGCTGCTGCTCAGTTATGCCAGTATCATCGGCTGACCAAGCATATCAAACCTGACGTGGAAACTTATGAAAGACTGAGAGAAAAACTGTAAGTGATTTAATGGTATATTCTTAGCATGTTACCTGGAAGGACTTGAATTTAAGAGTGCTGATTCTGGAGCTTTGCTTCCTGGCCTTGGGTTCCGGCTCCACCACTTACTAGACGTGTCACAGTTCTTCTCCCTGTTTCCTCATCTGTATACAGGGAATAATAGTGCTTACCCCATAGGGTTATGGTAAAGATTAAATGAATTCATCCCTACAGTGTACTTAATGTTTGGCACATAGTGCTGTAGGCAGTCTCATCATCATGATTACTGTTGCTGTTACTGTGTCCCTTACCTATGCAGGATATCTACTTCATCAGGTGCAGTAAGCAGTGCTAATAAGCTGCACTTGCTCTTTCCCTAAGGCAGGTAATGTGCTTAAGATCACAACTTTTGTTTTGTTTTTTTTTAAGATTTTATTTATTTGACAGAGAGAGAGAGATAGTGAGAGCAGGAACACAAGCAGGGGGAGTGGGAGAGGGAGAAGCAGGCTTCCCGCTGAGCAGGGAGCCCGATGCGGGGCTCGATCCCAGGACCCTGGGACCATGACCTGAGCCGAAGGCAGACGCTTAACGACTGAGCCACCCAGGCACCCCAAGATCACAACTGTTTTAATAGGGATAGTGGAGTAGAGTAGAGAGAGCTCTAAATTGTTCAGAGCACACCATGTTCTCATTCAGGCTCTCTCACTGTACGACTTGGTTGGGTGAGTCCATTAGCCTCTGGTCCTCAGCTGGTGCCTCACTTGAGCACTAGAGTAGATGATTTCTTAAGTACCTTTTTTCAGGTCTGATTTCTATTTCTTTGAAATCAGATATGATCCCAGAGGTTTCCATTTTTGACCACTAAACATTGTCTAGTTCTGCTGGTATAGAATCTTTATAGTGTTACTTACACCTTGCTTTTTCTCAGTGGAGAGGAGTTTTACACAACATCCAACAGCCTCCTTCATGGAGGAAATTGATAGGATGGTCATAGACTTGGAAAAGCAGTAAGTACTATCATGCAGCCTTAAGTTTTAGTACTGATTTCATGCCTCATGACAAAATTAACTGTGGTCTTGAAGTGTAGCAGAAGGTAGAAATTAAGGAATGCCTGAATTACTAGTTTGAAGAGTGGTCTCATCACTATTACTTGTATGTTTGTGTTTGAATAGGGTAATTATTGGGCAGAATCAGCAGTATATATATGAATTCTCTCAAAGTAGTGTAATGTCACTGCCCTTGTATTTTCAACATGAGCTTGTGTTCCCAATCTTAAAACTAAACCATCTGACAGTACTATTAACTTACAAAATTCATTAAAGTTCAATGAACATATTTCTTCAAAGAATTTTTTTCTGAAGAGATTTTCAGTCTTAAAACCGAAAAAGAGGGGTGCCTGGGTGGCTCAGTCGTTGAGCATCTGCCTTCGGCTCAGGTCATGATCCCAGGGTCCTGAGATCGAATCCCGCATCTGGCTCCCTGCTCCTTGGGAGCCTGCTTCTCCCTCTGCCTCTCTCATGAATAAATAAAATCTTTAAAAACAAAACAAAAAACAACCAATGTGTTTAAAAAAAAAATAATTCAAGGGACATCTGCCTTTGGCTCAGGTCATGATCCCAGGCTCCATGTAGGGCTCGTTGCTTAGTGAAGAGCCTGCTTCTCCCTCTGCCTGTGCCCCCTTCTTGTGCTGACAAATAAAAATCTTAAAAAAAAAAAAATAGTAATTCAAGAAAGGAAGCCTGGGTGGTGCAGTTGGTTAAGTGTTCCACTCTTGGTTTCAGCTCAGGCCATGATCTCAGGGTCCTGGGATTGAGCCCCATTTCAGGCTCCCTGCTCAGCATGGAGTCTGCTCGAGATTCTCTCCCTCTCTCCCTCCTGCTAGTGCTATCTCCAAAATAAATCTTAAAAAAAATTCAAGACGAATACACACCTATGCCGCTGTCTCCTCAAAAAAACTGATCACCTGTTTTATGTGGCTCTCCAGTATTTACCAAGAAAACATTTAGTACCAGCGTACTAAGGGAAAAGAGGAGGGAAAGATTAGTAAGGATAGGTTTCATAGACATCATAATCTGGATTTAAAGGAAAAACAGGAGGAGCACCTGGGTGGCTCGGTTAAGGGTTGCCTTTGGCTCAGGTTATGATTCCAGAGTCCTGGGATCAAGCCCCACATCGGGCCCCCTGCTCAGGGGGTAGTCTGCTTCTCCCTCTCCCTCTACTAGACCTGCTGGTGTTCTCTCAAATCAATAAAATCTTAAAAAAAAAAAAAAAGGAAACACGGATTTCTCCAGAGGAGAAAAGCACTCCCCAACAGTCACTGCTGCTTCAACCAGAAGCGCAGAGGTCAGTAGGATTTGAGGATTACTCTGAAGGTGACTGGGTGGATGGTCAAATAGGCAATATTGTAGAAGTTCAGCATAGGAAAGGTGCATTTTGAAGAGCGCGGGAGTAAGCACTGGAAAGGAACTCGGGAAATTCTCAGTTAGTAGATGGCAGAAGGCAGCATGGAGGAAATTGCTAAGAGCTTGTAGAGAGAGAAGTAGGCCAAGGATACAATCCATCAGTGGGCAAAGGACAAAGACCCAGTGTAGAAAATGGAAGAGGTCAAAGGAAATAAATGTATGTAAATCCCTGCAAGAAAATTTTGACAAAGGACTCTATAGAGAAAGAGTGAAAAGCACTCGTTAAGACGAAGTTTTATTTTACTAGATAAGCTTAAGAGAGGTTTTCAGCAAAGAAAACGAAAGGGAAGCATGCTATGGTGACTTAAATACAGTTCCTCTAGTTCACACTTTAAGAAAAAAAGCAAAGGATTTAACACCTGAACCAATCTAGGGATGTGCTTTCCAAAATGGTGGCCATCCACCATATGTGACTTTAAAAGTGGCTAGGACAAACTGAGGTGTGCTTTAAGTGTAAAATACATGATTACAATACCTAGTACAAAAAAAGTAAAATGCCACCAATTCTTAGAGTATTGAAATGACATTTTAGATATACTAGGGTAAAAAACTTTCACTAATTCTTTTTACCTTTTTCAATGTGGTTCCCTCATTTTCACTGGACAGCACTGAATCTAGTCTCTTGGTATAATTTCTCACCATCGGCACCATCTTGCTATACTGTCCACCACTTACACAGTAACAGGGTATTACACCTGGGCAACTGCATCCCACTTACATAATGAAGGCCAGTCTGGCTTTACACACACAGTACATTATCTTCTGTGTTACAAAGCCCAGGACAAACTAAACACCACAGACCTGGCCAGACCCAACAGACAAGGTGAACTTAGACAAGAACACTGTTAGTACTTGATGGGGCAATTATGAAAAAAAAAAAAAAATGAAGAATATAAACCATATTCTTTTCAGGACACTAGATAAGAGAAAATGAGCCAACAGACCAAGAAATTAAAGAGTATGAAATAGCTAAGCCTCAAGCGTGCTAATAGACTGAAGAAGCTAATGGTGAAGAATGCCAAAGGTAAAAATCACTGCAGAAGTATCAGAAGTGGTAATTAGCCCAGACCATTCTTATGTAACGAAGGAGTTTGGTTGAAGAGTTACAGGACTTATCCAGTCACTCAGCTGTTCAGGGCTAGTATTCAAATACGTGTCATAATCAGAGCAGCAAATGCTGCTACCAGCGAAATGAAGGTAAGAAAGATTATCACATTATTAATTCTTTTCCAAAGTCTCCCTCACAAGGAAACCCTCTGCAACTTTGCTAAGGATACCAACTAAAGATACTAACAAGGTGTTCATATTAGCCACATTCTCAGTTACAACTCAAATCCTCATGTTTTATTGGATTTGGCTGTAACCAGGCCAGCCTACCAATGTTCTCAGGTCTCCTTAGAATAAAAATGAACCTACTGCATAAACTTTTGTACTTCTTTAGAAGCATGTCCCCCTCCTGGTAACTACTGTTAACCTAGATATAAAATGGACATGTTCACCCAGAGCAGCAACCCTTTCTCACGGAATTTTCCGTTCGTTGTCCATTTAAATTTTTCGTAAGGTCAAATTTTATTAGAGCAGCTCTTCCCCATACAATGTTTTAGGATACAAATATTCTATTATCTGTACTTTCCAGTAACACAGCCACTAGCCTTAACACTTCAGAAGTGGCTAGTATGACTGAGAGGCTGCATGTAATCACATGTGGCCAGTGGCTGTTACTGATTGGAAAGTACAGGTAAATACTAGACAGCACAGCTTTAGTTAACAGCAAATTAAGTTCCACCTGAGAACCTTCGTTACTGTCCCTTCTACTTAAGAATTCAGGACTTCTGCCTGCTCATCTATTCATATTATTTGAGTGTTTCTTTTCCTGAGTTATTTGTTTCGTATCTGATATTCTGCCTATCCTGTTTACCTTATCATCCCTATTGGAAAACTATTTCCTGAGACTACACAAGTTGGTGGCAAAAGAGAAAGCAAGTAAGAAAGAAAAACATACTTCAAAAAAAAAAGGCGTAATAAAGAAATGCAGCTAAACTTCACAGATTGTAGAGCTCAATGAGGCATTCATTTCTATCTCTCTGGCTGAGTCTCCTCACCTAAAGCTTGTAGTTTAACTCGTCCAAGACAATACTATGCCAGAATTACATAAATTTTAGGCATAACTTCTCAAATTTAAACGAAGACCCACATCAACTGGCGAATATTAAGATTCAGCTCTGGGGTGGAGACTTTGAGATTTAGCATTTCTCACAAACTGGGTAAGGTCAGTGAACCCTATGCCGTCAGTCCATGGATTTGGATTTGGAATTAGCAAGGCTTTAAACAAGAGACACTTTATGCTTCTTTAAGATTCATTATGTAATATATACATACATAACAAAGCAACACAAATTTAAACAAGAAATTTATTAACAAATATAAACAAATCAATTACTGTTCTTATAAATTTTGCTTTTACATAAGTAATCGATATTATACAAAACATTTACAAGTATATGTACAAGACTCCCACCTGTATGAATCCTCTGGTCCACGTGTGTTATCTCTTATCTATAAGAGAAATCTAAAATGTTAATATTTAAATATTAAAGATTTATATATTTCTTTGTCATTGTTTGTAATTGCAACAATTACCACTAAATGACTCCCAGAGATGGAATAATGTTAGGAACACACACTTACAATAAAGTGCATTTCAGCCAACCTTATACATTAGTTTTCTTTTTTTAGACAGGTACCCACAGTCCATATGGACTTTTTTTCTGGTCTATTTTGGGGGATCCTGAAGAGGTCTCTTCAGCAGCAGCTTTAGCGGATTTCTGAAGCATTGGCTTTGCTACAGAATTCTGTAAGAGAAGAAATTCTTAAGTCAGCTATGCAAACACATACTTGTACTCAAAATACTTGCTTTTTTTTTTTTAAATACTTGCTTTTTACAAAATATACTAAATAATTCCGTTAAAGATTAAAACTTGAGACACCATCCAAAAGCAAAGAATGGACCCCATATTTATCACATGATCCAAATTGTAAAGCCTACTTTAAAAACTACTAGGAAAAATCAGACATGTGCAAAGTTTATTACAAAATAATGCATTGAAAGTTTTCAGTTTTGTTTAAACCCTTGGCTGATTTTTTTTTTTTTTTTAA